CTAAATGAGACAGTGTGAATGGAGTGGGTTTACATTACGAACTTTGCTAGTGGAAATCGACTTTAAGCGCAAAACCAGCAACCAATATCGATTTTGCCATATAAAAATGGGTGAAACAAACTTCGAATTTTGATTGAAGTTAAAATTGACTTAATTTAATACCTTTTCCTAAATACAAAAATGGCGAAATAACACGACTTACTCGTAGTAAAACTCAACTAAAACACAAGTAAAGTAAAAGTACAAACTGAGAGCGTAACACAAAAAAAGTGCCAAATTTCGCTCTTTACACAGATTTTCATGGAACAGCTTTGTATAAAGTCTGGTGAGAACACCAGTGCCGCGCCAATAAACAATACAAAAAATTTAAATTCAACCAAAACTAAAACACCAGATTCACTCATTACACAAATTTTATTTGAAATAAAATGTACGAGAAAGTCTATGTAGCATTTTCAAATTTCGACAGGGATGTTACGCTCGCTCAGATGCTCAAATTTACTCGAATTTTCGCTAGTGGAACGCATTTGTTTATACACAGTGTTACTCAAAGTTAGTACGAGTAGCACGCGGCTAGTGCAAGGTTAGCAACATTGCTGTGGAAGCTGGGTTGTTATTTATGAATAAATTTTTAAAAATGATTTGCTTGTTGAACTTTTTCAGAGATATTTAATATTTGAGTTGAAATATTCAAATCATATATGTTTATTCTATTTCATGAGCATATTTTCAATACCATTTCAATACCAGGCAAAAATCAAATCAACAGGCAAGTTGAAAAATCAGCTGTTTGAAATGAAAACAAATGAATTACAAGGAATAAAAACATGTTCAAATGGTTTATTCGAAATGAGCCATTTTCGGCCAGTGTAAACGACATATAATACACGCTGTATAGAATATTATTATTAACTATCTAAGTGTAAACATCCAAATTTTAACACAAATGTTTTGTTTTAATATTTGTGGAACCTTAGCAGCCCTACCCTGTATAGTGTAAAAATCCAAATGTCTACAAACATATTTTTTTTTCATATTTGTGCTGTGGAATATCAGCATTGGCCGATGTACAACATGTGAGTATGAATATTTGCGTTTCGATTTTACTTTGTACTCTTTTCTTGTTTAAAACGCTTTGTTCTACACACAAGCATACACACATTCGAAGGCACATGCACACATACATTTCAATATGTAATCCTAACCGGTTTTATTTTAAGCTCATTTTTATTACTATGTATATTTTTCTTATTACTTTCGGGGTCTGTCTATTTTATAACTTTATTTGAAATTTATTTTTTGAAATATTATTTGTGAGGTTGTGTTGTTTAGCACGATATTGTTTGGTTAAGCTATCTTCGGTCGCTCTTCATTTGTATTATTAATTTATTTTATAGTTTTCTTTTTGTAGCCCTCCTTTGGTCTGCTTCATACACATACATACATATGTGACTATGAATATGTGCCCAAGGGAACAAAAGTATAAGAATAGTATATTTTGTTGTTAGTGCAGAATCCGGTATTACTATTAGTATTGATGTAGTGTATTTTGGCCCGACAGTTCAGCGAAACAAGTTAAATGTATGACGTACAAGTAAGTACTCATGTTTGTTTGCATGTTTTAACAGATGAGTGAAGCGAAAATACAAGCATACATGTGAAGCGTGGTCATGGATTGATGATGAGTAAATTTAATAAATGAGTACTCTAGTTTAATCTATTAATTTTCTACATTTCTATTTATTTTAGTTATACTCATTTCATTAAACATAATAAAATTACACACACGTCACACAATAAAAAACAATATCAGAGCATATTCTTTTTGTCTTGTCTGAGACCTAAGAGTACTATGAGTACACATACATATACATATGTACATACATACATACACATGTAACTGTTCATCAATAAGTTAATCGTACTTGCACAGTTTATTTACTTCTAATTATTATCACTATAATTCAATTAATTGTTATCAAAATTATTATTTTAAAAAAATTAAAAACGGTTATAAGAGAAAAATTATGATTATGAGTTAAATTCCTTCAGGTAGTGGATAAGGTATTATATTTCATAAACACCTCTATATTATATATATATAAATATATATATATATATATATATATATATATATATAATATATATGTATATAAACGGCTATGATAATAAATTAGGTTTCTTTAGTTAGCTGACATAAAGCATTAAAAGCAATATTAATGACTTTTTTAAACTTCTCTGAAAGAAATATATATCTCGAAATATAGAAATATATATATCTACAAATATATATATATCTCGTCTGTTGCGTAACGAGTTTTTAACTTCGAGACATTTTTCGGGACGTGTATCTATGCGTTAACACATGGAATTTGGTACTCTCCCGGAACATCTGGTACGCATCATCGTCCTGGTCAAACAACACTTATCAAAATTCAAAGCATCTAAAATTCATATGCAAATGGTCAAAAAAACTGGGAGGAGTTTTGGCTTCTGAAAAGAATTCCTGGATATACAAATTATTGTTAAAGTATTCCTTTTATTTCACAATAGGCTTAATTTCTGCAAGTCGTTCTTGAGTGGGTGCCTACCACTACGTTGTCAATCCAAAAAAAAATCGTTAGATTATTAACGGTAAACTCTGATGATAATGGTGTAACTAACACCGTGAATGAGAACCACATGTGTAGAGTCGATAATAATTGCTGGAAATGCTTTATTACAAATATTGAACTTTTATTTTGTTTTGAAATCAGATTTACAGTTAAAGGGATTAACACAGCATCCACGTTTCTCTCTATCCCTCAAGCCTACGTATGTTTGTTAGGAAAAGTCATCATACAATGGACTTTTGTATTAACTATATTGCAAATTCCAGAAAATGCAGGTGTAAACAAAGCATGCTGGCAATCTCCTCAGATATAAATGCTTTCGGCCATGATGGCGCACTTAACGAAATGAGAATAAACTTACGATCCTGGTGATACCATGTTTACGTTTTATAGTGCTAGTAATCTTTGCATAATGCTGTTAAAATAATATAATAAGGTAAATTTAAGATACATGCGGTTCACGAACATAACTATGCTTTATATGGACAATGCCATGCTATTGAATGTTCTTAGAAATACCTTAGAAGGATAATCATATCTAATTTGTGATATGGCTGCATTTACCACGAAATACTGTTTATAGTAGGTCTGTAATGTATTCAAAACCCGTTGTATGCTTTATGAGACTGAGGGTTTTTTGTCAAGTGAGCAATTTAGCTCAATCAGGAGATTTTTCTCATCAGAGAAAACAATATTCGGTAACTAGTAGCCGTGCAATCTTAACAACTGATTTGACGCATCTATTTTTTTTAGCATTGACAAACTGTTGTCAATTTTCAAATGTGCAAGTATCAAACATACATATTTTAATCTGATTTTTGAGTACTTGTTGCATTATATGTATTTTTGATATATTTAATTAAGTAGTTAAGTAACCTTGTATTGCGGGTCTGATTTCTGTCAATATGTACCTTTACTTACCAAATCAGATCTGTTATATTATCGCACTATTACGTTTGAATTACGCGACTGACAAAAAATTTGCCAGCCAGAAATTCAATTAATTAAAATAATAATAATAAATTTTTTTTATTGTAGTTCACTACTGTTCGAAAAACCTCTTTATGAAATATAATAAGTTTCTATTAAAATATAATAGTCACTTTCGTGTGGAAAATTTGACGTTAAATTACAACTTACATATATTCACAAAATATTGGGCTCGCCCGTGCGACTAGTGGAGTAACATTAGCATGACTTTCTTAGCATTACGTTCCTAGATTAGGTTTTATACATAAGAAAGAAGAAATCATACAATAAATAATGCCTGTACGAACAGAATAGTATTGAAATTTAACAATTGAAAATAAAAATATAATTATTTAATTAATTGAATTATTCTACAGCTGGTTTATGATTTCGTTCTAATATAAACACAGCAAGTAAAATTGTTAATAAGAAACTTTCATAGTAAAAGTAATAAAACTCCAGAAAAATATGCGAACAAAAAAGTCAAGTACGGCTTTAGATCAGTTGGTTAAGGTGCGCTGATTCTGAGCTTCATATTTGGCAGGACCCGAGTTCGATTCTTGGTACTTGCAGTCTCAAAAATAATTATTTACGAATAATTAAACACAAGAATTGTTTCTAAGACCACTGATGATGGGTATTTGGCAATATTCGAAACAGCTGTATGGTCAGCCAAAAATTCAATTAATTAAAATAATATAAAAAGTAAATTTTTGTTATTGTAGTTCACTACTGTTCGAAAAACCTCTTTACAAAAAATTTTTCTAAAAAACTAATAACGCTGGGTCATACGCTGGTACACAATCAGCTGACAATCAGCTGACAACTGTCATTTAACAAGATGAGAACACAGTGTTGTCATTATATCGAAACTAATAGCAGTTTAGAGTTGTTTAGAGATCAATTAATCAATGAAAGCTCCACCAGCCGAAACCATTTTATTTTCGTCCTAACAGTTGGATAAATTATCATGTGATTTTTTCACACTAATGTATTCCTGCTATATATATGTATGTATATATATTATGCGATAATGTATATAAATATTCGATATAAAAATAACTTTGATCATGGGGGTACGCAAAGGGGAGGGGGGTTGTTGTGTTAGACCTTAATATTTTATTATTGTTTTGAATAAAAATTAAATATTGCTTATAAGAAATGTGTAAAATTCGCCTTGTTAATCTTTTCTAATTTACATATGTATATATGTATATTTGACATACATATATTTCTTAAAGAATAGTTTTCCAGATTATGTTTGCATAAATTATATGATGTAATATCAGCATAACAGCCCCCTAACTTCGGCTCTGGGTAGACCCTTGACTGTGAAATATAAATGAAAAACCGCATTTATATAATAGAATATTTATCAATTTATATTGCGGACTATAATACTTCAAGTACGCGTTGCACACAAAGCCGAACCGTTTGCCGAATGTAATAAGAAGAATAATAATACATGCACACAAACGAGTTTGGCTTTACGTGAGGGGTGGAAAAGTATTCTTTAATGGTTACAAAGCAGATTCCAAACATGAACGAGTCGTTCACAATTGTGTAGCCGAATCGGCTCAAAAGTCGTCGTAAACAGAGATGAGTTCGAACGCAGTCGTTGGCAACGTTCAGTACATTTGTGCATGCGGACGCGAGCGGTTACGGAATGCAGAAAAAAATAAATATTAAGAAGCTAATAAAAGAAGTAGAAGTTCGACCAGCGTTATGGAATATGAATAAAAAAGAATATAGTGATAAAGTTAAGAGGAAGGAATGTTGGGAACAAATTGCAGCTATTTTCTCTGATCCTGTAATGACAACGGACGAAAAGAAAAAATTAGGTTGGTTTACATTGTCTGATAGCAAGTACTCGAAATTACACTTTTCACCCGAATTATTGATATGTATCTACAAATGCAAGTTTGTATGTATGTGTACGTATATGTATAGAATTTTTAATTTATTTTATTATTACAAATGTTTAGCAATAAAAGCCAGTAGCTTATCGATATACTTATGAGCGAATAAAATGTTGCATTCTAATTTCAGAGGAATTGTTGCACAAAAAATGGAAGAATATTAGAGACAGATTTGCACGAGACATTTCGAGCAAGAAAAGGAAGTATAGAGATAAATCTGAATGTAAATCGCCTTATATGTTTACAGAACAGTTGCAATTTTTAAGAGAGGTTGTTATTTCTAAAAGAAAAGCAAAGTCCCACACGACACAGAACGAGGATGAGGAACATATAGTTAATACACATCCAAAAAATCCAAACCAATATTCCCTTGAAGAAAGTGCTTTCAGTACTGAAGAAAACAAACACAAAGAATTGCAAAAAGATGACAACTATCATTTTTTACTGTCTTTGTTGCCGAGTCTCTCCGGGTTGACAAAAGCTCTAAATCTGAATTGCAGGATTGAACTAATGCAGATTGTCGCTAAGTATGTCTCTGTGTCTCGGGAAACAGTGCCTGGAATAGCGAGATATGGACCAATAATTGAAAGTAGTTCACAACGCAATCACAACCATTTGATGCAATTTAAGGCATTACAAGCAACACATTCTGGAACCGAAGACTTAGATGATGATGCAGAATCGGATATATATGACATTAATATTAAAAACGAAACCAATTTATAGTCCTAACTTATATAAGTATGTATGTAAAAACTTATAGTATTTCAAATTCTTTAAATAAGTTTAACACAGACACTGCAAAAATACATATTCAATTTATTTGTTAACCTTTCTTAATAACTAAATAGATGGTTGTAATTGTAGACTACGAATATGATTAAATATTGTTTAACATTATGATATGATTACACTTATACTTGTCGAACTTCTTTAGGATATTTTATATGGGTATTGTATAGATTTTTTACGGAAAATGTAACATTTTGCTACATATAAGTCGAGTTAAGTATAACAGTCTAAAAATAGTATTAAGTATACAAACAAAAGGTTTAATAATTAAAAAAAAAATTAGTAATTGTTGCAGTATGGTATGCAGGTACCCATGTAAAATCACTACTTATTTTGTTACCAAACCCATATTTTTTTCACATTTTCCACTACGTTATCGGTACAACTGCAGGGCCACAATAATGTACGAAAGGCGTTCACATAATATTCTCGTACATCACACAATTGGAACTGTGTTGTCCAGGTATTTTTGCCCAGCTTTGCGAGATGCATTTGGATTATTTACAGTTGTGTCAAAATTCAGTGCAGTCCATTTTAAATAGCTGCAATCATATGTCCTGTATATATGGTCTTAATATAAAGTCTAAAATGCTTTATATGAGAGAGAATAGTTAGATACTGTTTAAATATTTTTGACTAATTCTTTTTCGAGTCATATTTGTATTTTAACAAAGTTTTCAACAGTTCTCCATCGGATTCCTGTAGAGATGAAAGGCCACTTCCACGTGCAACAAGAAATCCTCAAATCGTGGAAAAATTTGTCATTCTGATTTGGGATAGTTTCTTCTCTGAACTATCGCTGCTTATATCCACTTTATTTTTCACCGTTTGAAAGAAAGACAATTCAAATACGCTTTACGACAGTTGGCAAAACTACAAACTTACCTGCAAGGATTACTTTACAAGTGTGAATATAAAATTGTAATTAGTTAAGTTCGTCAAACGACAAACAAATCTACAACCAGTTTGATTGAACTATAATAACCTTATAATAGTACGTTTCCACTACGTACTTAGTAAGCTTCATTTACTGAGTAAATTGCATTAGCCATACAAAGAGTTTCCGTGCTTTTTCATTTACTATAAAATATAGTAAACAAAATTCGACCAAAATTATACCAAATATCACGAATGCAACATTGGAAATGATTGAAATTTGACATATTTGACACATGAAACAAAATGTTAACATAAACAAACAATCAAAATTCAAAACAAACAACAGGTAAGAATTTTTTAAACATTTGTTTCTTTATAAACAAAATATATAATTAATACATAAAAATATAAAAATAAGTTTATTTATCAAATATATATTTAATATAATTATAAAATTTCATATATTATTTATTAAAAATTATTTATTTCAGGTTAACATCAGGAAAGCAATAATTGAGATCTCACAAGTTTGATTTATAAATTTGAAATTGTGTTTAATGTAAAACAAAAAAATATTACCCGGAATGCGTGTGGAACCGTAGAACTATGGGAAGAAAATCTTCTTCCCTAAAAAAGTGAAACAGGTTTTATGGTAACCGCGTCCGAAGTGCAAACGAAAGTGCACTTCACCCAACATTTTAGGCAAGTGTTCAATAAGTGAAATTTCTATCATATCATTACTTTTTTGTAATTAAAACCACATAATCCTTTACGATTAATATTAGATGTTTTATTTAATAGTTAATGTTATGTTAACTATTTTTCTCATTTATTTTAAAACAGAAAGAATCAGCAATGTATTGTGGTTTCAACGGAGGCTCCGTCATCGTGGAAGTTTGTCAATAACGTGTATGGTATATAATTTTGGAGAACTTGCCTATTGACAACACCATCAAATTAATTTCTGATAGTCATCCTCACCGTTACTGTCAGCGTCGTCAACATTATCGTCAACATCTTTGAAGCCAAAAAAGAACACACCTACAAAGAAAAGCAAAATCAATGATAACCAACTATATTTTTTTATTTTTATTTTTAATATATTTTAAATTATTAAAATTATAAGTGTAATAATATAAATTTTTTATAAATTTTATAAGTATATATAAACTAATTATATGAAAAATATATAAGTACATATTTTTTGTTGTTTTTATTTTTAATTTATAAGTTATTAGTGTTAAGGTTATGGACAACTAATAGGTATTAGTTAAAATAAAACTTATTGAAAATTTTAACTAAACATCGCCTTATTTCTTTTCTATTAAGATTGTGGTTGTTTAGTGTTCAAACTTGTTTTGAAGCCCTCTGTTGTCTTCTCAGCAACTTAGTAAAATTTTATTCTTTATTTAATAATATTTACTGCCCGTACTTTCCAAAGTCTTTTTTGCAACTTCCTTTTTTTCTAGTAATCATTGAAGAAAGCACTATCATTTGTTGATTTTGAATTATTTGTAATTTTTTAAAAACTATTGTATGTTCTTTTGTATGTGCAGCAACTGCCGCTTTTATATTGTGAACAACATTACAAGCATCAGGGCCTGTTTACACTATCATGAACGTGAGATGAACTTGACGACAACATGAACTGTCAGTTACATTGTCATGAGCGTGAAATTTGTTTTGTTTTGTGTAAACGTATAAAATGCTTGTGTAAGTAGTGCAGAGTACAGAAATTGAGAGTATTCAATATCCCAGCGGGACTTTCAGCGCTGAGGCAATCGCATACTTCAGCGCTGAATGTCACAGCCTTGCCGATATACATCAGGTCCTAAGCGGAAAGGACAGTTCTAAGAGTGAAGAAAGGAAATATAACAGATAGAAAGAACTTCGAAAATCTTGCCAAGCAGCGTCTGTAACTTTCAATGCCATAGGACACGATAAATCTTAAGTTCAGCATTTTAAAACTGAACTAAGCAACAAAAAAGTTGAGAAGGCATCAGTCAAATCTACCAACTAACGAATAGCACAATTGCATGGTTCACTGACGGCTCGCTTACGGAGAAAAGTGCCGGAGTGGGCATAGTCGCACCAGGAGCGGGCATACGCGGATAAACTGGCCAGGAAAGGAGCAGCCACACCGATGATGGGGCCGAAACCTTTTTGTGGACCAGGATATAATAAGCTCCTTTGTCTCATAAAAATAAAGAAGAGCTAGAATAAAAAGGATTACTGGGATAATATACCAGGATTAAAACAATCCAAATCACTCACAGGAAACAGGGCACTGTAAACTAAAACACTACCTTACAAATGCACAAACGCAACAGGCTCCTAGGAATGTATATTCTTATGGAAGAGGCAATAAAACTTTGTAAAGTAGGTTCTACACTACTTTTTATTGACGCCACAGGGTTTAAAGACCTACTCTAACCCCAGAAGGGGGCACAATAGACCCGATAGTCGGAGTGCCACATCCCCTTACAATAATAATAATTTTAATTTCGTTTTTTTTTAAACGCAGCTAGAGTTCATAAAATGATTTTTTTCTCCTTACACAATTTGTTTGATCTTGAATATGGGTTTGCAGATATATGAACATATATATATAGATAGAGAGACCTGCTTTTATTGATTCCTTATCGATTTTTTGGTTCATTTAAATTCTTGTTTCTGCTTTCTGCACAATAGCGTGAATCATTCTTTGGACTTTCGGTTGGAAAAAGACACGTCATTCAACCTATAATATTCTTAACTGTGCTGATTTGTTTTATTTAAGAAAATTCTATATTATTTGTTTGATATTTATTAGATTTTAGTGTTAATAATAAGTAAATAATTAAATTGAAATACAGATGAAATTGGCGAATTTCATGAGGTAAGAAACCTAATAACGTCCGGTCATCTGAAACTCTCAATTGGGCTCAGTGATATTTGAAAACATGAGCGTATTGTTTAACAATTCAATCTTTCTGGAAATTTAAATCAAGGTTCAAAAAGGTTCAGAGCAGTCGTCTGATATACCAAATACCTAATTTAACTTAGTGCTTTTATGTAGAGAAAATATATACATATGTATGTGTACATATAAAAATTATGATTTTATAAGATCGTAAAAGGACTCATATGAAAATCAACGAAGAGAATTGAAAAATAGTAACTGAACTACTGAAAGCTATATATCTTCATTCAATGCGGGCTGTGAAAAAACTAATTGTTGAATTCGTCGTCTATTGTGTTGACCTTCTCTCTTCACAAAATTTATACTAATACTGATCAATATTCTAAATAAAAATCGGATACAGTTACGGCGTACAGTGGAGCAGAATGGGAGATAGCCAGATAGTCGTATGCCAATTGATACTGTCATTTAATTAAAGATGAAAAACTACATTTGTAGGTACATAAGCTTTGTTTGGAAATTTGGATTTGAAAAATCGAAATTGAATTATTAGGAAGAGGATAGATTAATAAATTGTGTCCGAATTTATGTCATCCGATTTAGAATGAGATGAAATACATTAAAACTACTTCAAAATATCTATTCAAAAATATTTTTACTATATATACATATGTATGTGTATGTTGAGGAGCCTTATGTCGAGGAGCCAACTTGAAACACGTTAATATTTCGAAAACAGATATAAACTTATTAACTTGATTAGAATAAGAATGAAAAAATTATTTAAAATTAGTTCAAAATATTTGTTTGAAACTTTTTTATAAAATATAAACAATGCTGCAAAGATTGTAAAAGATCTTTAACTCTAAATCGGATTAACTTATGAATTTTGAATTAATTTCAGGGAATTTAGAATATGTACATAAATACACTTAAATTGATTCAAGATATCTGTTGGGAAATATTTTTTATTATATATTTTTTGAAAGGTCTTGACAAAGGTTGACAAATTCGAAAAATTTTCATATTTCCTTAAGACGAAATACATTAATATTTGTTTATAATATTTATTTGAACATTTATAAGTAATATATGAATGTATATTTTCAAAAAGTCTATTAATTAGCAAATAATTGCTTCTTTGTTCATCTATAATTTTCTTGAAATTTACGGTTTGGATATTTTATCAAATAATTTTTGATTCGGTGCTCTAAGCCTAGTACTAAGTCCAGACCATTTCGAACGAAAATTTTTAATAAAATCTTTCTAAAAAATGTTTGCCAAATTTTGGACATTATGGATAATTTTTTATGTCGTTATTTACATATGAACATACATATGTAAATTTTTCTTATCAAATGGATATTGTACTTGGTTCATGCGAGAGTTTTATTTGTAATTTTAGCTGTCAATTGTTGTTGCTTTCAATGCAAAATGAAAATTTTCGACAGCTAAAATGACAAACATTAGTACTTCGTTTTACAGAAAAGTGCTGAACATATTTAGAAATTTCTTTTCGCAAAATTATTATCTTAAATAAAAACTGTTTTCTGCAGTCCAAACTACAATTTTGCAATTGTGTTGAATTGTGGAATGTGTGTGGAATGAGCGAATCTCCGAAAATTTCACATTTCCCACAGCTACAACAACAAATTATATTGAGCGTAAAATTACACATTTGCCACAGCCGAACTCTTTCTTAAATTTTGTGTGCAAATGTTGAATTATATAGAGTTGCCATTACGGCAAAATTTGTGGATAAATCATTAAAATATTTAGAATATTTAGAACGTGTACGAGTTAGGCTAATTTGGTGCTAAACCAAATGGGAGATTTTTTGGTATTTTTTGCACTGCACACATTTAGCCATTTATCAACACGTATCGACACATCACTACATTATCGGCACAACTTAGAATTTTCCTCATTTAGAACGCAACTTAGCCTAACTCGCATACGTCCTTAATGCAGAAATTCTGCTGGTGGCCAGCGGTAGCATCGTTTAGTCAATGGTTTTACTTCGGCATTCACTTGTGACGTAAAGACACTTTTGCAAGCAGATTATTGGAATGAAGTGTTCTTGCTCGATAATATAATGCATATTGAGGATTTTATTAAGATTTGCACTTTCCACACACAACAAAATCGCATCAAATTGATGTTACCACGAGTACTTTGACTAGTAGTATGTAGCAAAAGTTCAGACGCAAATGAAATCAGCCAATTTATGCAAATATGAGGTCCGATTTAACAGTCATCATTTACGTTTGACTTAATCTACCAAAGTCGATGTCTTAGCACAACTTAAAGATTGGAGGTATCAATCTTCAATACACATGCAGACGATTTAGTTATAATTTGGTTATAATTTAAATTTAGTTCAAAAGAAAGAAAATATATAATGCATTTTTTATGTAAGGTGGTTATTTTTGTAACTTCGTACAAAATGTATTGGATCGATCGGTTTTCAAGTATGTCTCCATACCTTGCAGATATGATCGATAACGGATCGATCCGCTTTGAACTGCAAAATAATTTTTTGATTCCGTGAATAATGTTTGAAAAATTTCAATTTTAATTAATTAATTAATTATTATTTAATTAATTTATTAGTAATTAATTTATTAGTTCTCCGTTTCTGGGAGGAAATGTAAAAGAAATAAATAAATTTTGTTCACACTGTTTTATGAGTCGGAGTTTCGCTCCACCATTACTGACTTCCTATGAAAGGATGGGATGGAATGCGCCGGTATGAAGTTTATTTCCTAAAGTAAGCATTTTAAATTTAACAAGTGTACTC